TTTTTTCGCACGGTGGTGGCCAGTATGCCCATGACTCCATCTTCACAGGCCCCTTCCGAAAAGGCAAGAATTCAGCGACTTGGAAGAGTTCTAGCGTGGGCTTGCTGGTTTGGCATTGTTTCCATTTTTTCATTGCCATCGATTCTCTTTGCGTTCTCCCAATCTTTGCTCGCACATAACTCACTTCCTGTGAGTGATCAAGTTTTGCAATGGTTCAACAGCATCGCCCCTTATCTCAACGTGCTCATTGACATGGTGCTCTCAGCCCCGGTCTCTAAGAAGTATGCAGCCTTCACCGGCATTAAAGCGGATCGTTTACTTATGACTTTTCGTCTCTTTTCAGCTTGGCTCTTGGCGCTGCTTACCACAGTTGTATTGGACGAAAACTGCTTATCAGGCTGGAAATGGACTTGGACTGTGTGCCAAGTAGGATCCCCGAACCACCAGAATTTCAACTGGGGAGTCTTTGACGAAGAGATATTGAACACTGACAAAGACATTTGTAGGTCCAGTGATGGCTGGTGGTCAGATGGCAGGTGTAGCCGGGCCATCGTAGGGAACTTGACGCCCTTCCTTCTCAAAAAACTCATGGTTCGAGCGACAGTTCAACCCTTGATGCTATTGACTCTGTGGCACTGTTCGAAGCTGGATATGCCCAGAGACGACTTGAAGGAAAGACATCTGAAGCTCTTCGGTCGCTGGCCAAAGACGTCCGGCTCGCTGGCACCTTTGCAGCAACTGTCGCTGCTGACGACACAAGTGGAAGCTTTCTTGCAAAGGGCGCGGCAGCATGTTTTTTTCATGTTTTTTCATTTTGTTCACCTGCATTAAAGGCAAAATCTGCATGGACTTACCTCATTCACGCCGCATGCAACCCATACCAATTAAGCCTAGCGTTGCACACTTGCAGTAAAGTATAGATCCAGCGGTTTGTTGAAGTACCCTGTCTGCTTTCGGTAGACAAGGTCCAAGGGCAACGAATTTGCTCTATTGTTGTCTAATTCCTGAATGTGTAGCGAAGGGTTCTCATTTAACTCTGGGGGTCTGGGGGTAGAGTCTTGTTCGCGACGCGTTGTCTCAGCGTTCGCAACCGAGTGCCATGCGGATTTGCGCGGCCTTGGTGGAAAGTGCGTTTGCGTGGCGCTGTGCCGCTGGCGAGGGCAAACATGCTGGTGTAAACGCGGCATGTCGCTGGTGAGCGACAAGAGCGTCCCACAAGAGTGTCCTAGAAGAGTGTCCCACAAGAGTGTCCCGTAAGAGTACCCCACAGGAGTTTCCTACAAGAGTGTCCCGTAAGGGTGACGCACAAGAGTGTCCTACAAGAGTGTTAGCGCCAACAGAGTGTCCTAGAAGAGTGTCCCACAAGATTGTTTCGTGAGAGTGTCCCACAACAGTGACCCACAGGAGTGTCCTACAAGAGTGTCCCACAATGAGTGTCCTACAAGTGTCATTTGGACATATGCAGCTTTTCAATTGTGCTTGCATTCGGGTTCGTGGGTTCCATCTTGTATTTTACAAAAGGTACTCATCAGCCAAGGAATTGTTAATCTTTTGGACTCCGTTGGTTCCCTTGCTGGGCTTCGCAATCCTTGCGGCGGCTCTGGCCAATCTCTTCGTGTTCGATGCTGGTTTGCGGAATTTCCGAGTCATTTTGCCCGCGGATGAGATGAACAGAGGAGCTGCCATATCAAGGTCGTATCTACGATTTGCTCTTTGGTCCGGCTCCTTCTTTCAGATATGGTATGCCTTCGGCACCAAGTTGTTCGGTCGATATGCACTGCTGGCCATTCACATCATGGTCAGTGGGCCATGGGCAACGCACTTTCTGCCTGTGGACCTGGCCAGACGTCACATCTGGACGGAGCATCAAACTGCCAGTGATGTTCAGGTAATCGAGATGGTCGTTCAGTTTGACCAGAACTCTAATGCATCATGATGCGAATGTCAGGAGAAAAGGCGTGCAGTGGTGGGATTGAGAGGGCCCTTGCAGAGAAGAAACACTCCACTCTCCCAATCTTGGCGGGCACCCCATCCGCCTCTTCGGATTCATGTCTTCATGTCGGCAAGTTGGGGTCCAGCATCTCGCCGCTGGACCATCGAGTTTCACCATAGCCCTTGACATTCTTTTGGATTTCGTGGTTTCTCCTGGGGATCCGCTGGTGATAGCTTTATGTTCAACCATGTTCAACCTTTACTTGGGACGATTGAACCCACTGAGCAATATAGGATTTATATATTATATTTGTGATATATGTTTCAAGTGAGTTGGAACCACCAAGCAGTTTGATATTGTCAGTTCTTTGAGCGGTGATGTGAGAACTGGAAGGGCAATGCTTCTTCCTCCCATGCTTACTTGCCCAGAACAGTGAGAACATGATGAAAGCGCATGGTGGCGACGTGAGGCGACTCTTTGAACTGCGCGCCGGCTGGACGCTGGGATCGTTGATGTTACCACCTGCCTGGCAGGCCACCTCGACTGCTTCGGAAGGAGGTGATGCTCCGCACGGACTGTACATATGGCCGCATAGAGCCTACCAGCCGATCTGAGATGTCAGAAAAGCACCAGAGCTTGGGGTAACATGTTCAAATGTTGTTCTGTATTGAGCTGAGGGTGTGGTTTGCAGCACATTGGGTTGCCACCGAAGACGGATGGGTGTTTTGTCAGATGCTGTAGAATTGATCTCCTGGTCAAAAATGGTGTGGAATCAGACATGACAAGATGTGGGTTTTACAATGCTATATTGGCTTTGGAGCTGCGTCGATCAAGGACATTCATGACCTCCTTGCGGGCGTACCCTTCGTCGCCCGCAAAGGCGACGGGTTTGCCATGTCGGTTTGGCTCGTGCCTCCACCGCTTCGCGTACCGCGTACCGCATCGTTGAGAGGTCGGTGGTGGGAGATCGATCGCTCCAGTTTGCTTGGTATTCGAACGGGCTCCAGTTGTACAAAAAGAAGGATGTGGAGAGCATGGCCATGACTCTTGCTTTTCGGTGTGATGAGAGACAGAAGAGAGACAGGGACACTGGATTCCGATCATTTTCGCGTCACAACTGACTGCTGTCGACAGACAAATTGACATGCAACTTCAACATGTCGGAAGCTTAAAAAAAGTTTTCCTTCTAACCAGGGTTCAGGATTGTAACCAGGGTTCAGGGTTTTCAGGTCTTATTATTATGTTGTTGTTGTTGTCGTGGTCGTGTTTGTTGTTTGCTGTTGTTGCTGGTGCTATGGCTATGCTCACATTATCAGTCAGTGTTCTATCAAGTGTTCTATCAATTTGGTCAGTCAGTCCATCAGCCCACACTGCACTCCCTTGTCGAGCTCAACTTTTTGCACTCTCACTGCTGCCCGGTATTTCATGTTCATCCTATTGCCCTATGCATCATCTTGTGGAGCCTCCACCAAAGCATCCTCTTCCTGCAATTCTTCTTCCTCTCCTTCCTCCGGCTCACACATCTTGCCGGCGGGCTGATTCACTGTTGGTAAGGCATTCGGAGTAGAGCTCTTCCGCCGTGAAGCCGCCTCCACTTCTGCTTGAACCAGCTGGTCCTGTGTCAAGCCAAGACAAACTGTGTTTATTAACTATTCCTACATGTAGGCATGCAAGTTGCGTTCACTGATATATTTTGTATGTTTGGTGTCCCGCAAAGATCCAAGCGATGATACATCGCCATTTCGCTTTTCCATCTCCAGGCGCAAGATCTCCTCAGGCAATGTGGATTTTGCCTACTCCTCATGAACAAAGAACAACACAGCTCAAGGTGTTTGTGTGCGTGTTTGTGTTTGGGTACCACCGCTATTTAGTTGCTACTGCTTCGTGCCAGGTTTGTGTAGTTTGTTGGGGCTTGGGGCTGCAAGGAATGCAATTCCATGACAAGCGGCTGCGATCTCCTCCATTCTTTCATTGGAGATTTCAGCAACAGGTCGCATCTGCAAACAACAACAACAACAGCAACAACAACAACAATGTCATGCAATGCACTGCAAACGGTCAGCAACTAGCTCCATAAACCAGAATTTGTAAGCAGCAAGAATCACTGGGGCCCCCACACGAAAAATCTCCCCAGAACCATTGTTCAGCTTGAATCCCCAAACTCCATTGTCCTTGTACTTGTATTTGTATGCCTTCAAAGGTTTCGACTCTTTGGCTGTTGCTGGCTTCTTTGCTGGCTCAGCTGTTGGCGCTGCTGTGGCAGGACGTTTCATCGTCTTCTTTTTTTTGGCTGTGTCTCTTCTATCTCTTCTTTGGTCTGTTCAGGTTTCCCTCCTTGGGCACTCTCATCTGGTTCTTCTTCTGCTTCTTCTTCTTCTGGCGCTTCAGGTTGCTCTTCTGATGCTTCATGGCCATCCCCCTTTGAATTGCCTCCATTCTTCTGAGACGCTGCTGGCCGTTTCTTGGGGGATTTCTTTTTTGGTGTTGCTTTTGCCTTTGTGCCAGACTTTGGCTTTGCTTTGGGCTTTGATTTTGGTTTTGCCTTCGGTACTGCACCTGAGGCTGCCTGATCATCGTCTGACAAGGTGTCTATTGCTTGTAAAACCATCAGCAGGGCCATGGGCGCAGGCAATGTTGCAACGACCCTTTTGAGCAACAAGCGAGGAACAATTGAACCAGCAGCCAGCAGCAAGCAGCAACAACTATACTAAACTTGACTTGCAAATTGCTGTGTAGGTGTTCCACCCTTTGTGACTGCAACATGCTGCAACACTTTTTGGCAACGCATTCCACTGTCTAACATGTCTAACACCCAGCAAAGCACCGCCACTACTGACATGGACCAAGGCATTCCCAATGAATGTGATATGTATCAAGTGGACATTGCAAAGTCAGTGTGGTATATGTGACTTGCTGCAAAACGGTGAGTGCACCAAACACAGCTAGTGGCATCACACTCGGAAGGCTCGCTGGGCCCCAAGAGGAACTGAGCATTTCAATGCAAATTTGGGCTTGACCGGCAGCAAGTTGGCTGGTGAAGATGTCACCATGCGAACCTTGAGCGTTGGTGGGGCACAGATCCTAATTAATGCCATGTTTGCCATTCACAAGACAGACACACAATCTCAGGTTTGAACATCCCACACAAGGCCTGCCACTGAAGATTCTGGCATTTTGTTGAAGTCATTGAAGAACACTTGCCCCAGTTGCGTCGATCTGAGGTTTTGGAGATCAGTCAGTTTCTTGGGTTCGAAGGCATTCACTCGCTGTTTTGGTGTCAAGCGGTATCTAAATGTGCGCAACTCGCCATTGTCCTGCACTCACGGTCGAACATAGTTGGGCCACTAGTTGAGCCACAAGACCCACTGCATACCCACACATGTCGGTGATTCTTGATGGCACATATTTCGCACGTTTCTTAGTTTACACTGATTGAAACATCACTTGCTGCAACATCACTGACACAGCAGCATCAAGCTCCTTGACCATTTGTTCCATGTCATGGTCTGTCATGGTGACTTGCATCAACCCACTGTTGGCAGCCAAATCACACATGACATTTGCAATGCACTGCATGCGCTTCGTGTTGTTCTCCCCGCACAGCTGGACCATGTTGATGTCCTCTGACACCAGCCAAGGAATACAATCCTTTGGACGCGCTGCAGCTACACCTGCCAGACGCTTGGATTAAATTAGATACCGCACACAATAATATCCAGAGTAAGGGCATTGACATGGTCGAAAACTACCAACGCCACAGTTATTTGATTTAGACATGGCCGCACCTTTTGCAATTTCCTTGAAACTACCAACGCCAAAGCCGAAGAGGTCACCGGCCGCCAGAGTGACTTCAGAGTCTGTGCTGTTTGCCAGCCACACCTCATAGTCGACGATGTAAATGGTGATCGAAGGCTCCCTCAAACATGAGCATTGCGCTTTGATCCTTGGGGTGCACTTTTGGTCAATGGCATTCAATGGCATAGAAGACACCACGCACAGCTGTCACAACATTACACAACAAACCTTGAACACCAGCATGAAACCAAGACACTCCTTGGTGCTCAGAAAATCTTGCAAAGGCATGGAATGCAAATCAACTTCGCGAGTAAGATCCAGCGGCCGGTCAGACTCGGTGTAGTCAGGCTCGCACGCAGTTCGGGAAACAACCTGTCCTTCTTGGCTAGTTCTACGCTCGCCAACAGTGTTGGAAGTTGTGGTTGCCTGCGCGGTCCCCTTCAATGCACGCTTCACAACCGGTGTGTTTGCCTTTTGCACCATGCGGATCAGTTCATCAAGCTTGGGTGATTGGGTAGAGTCAGCCATCAAGCGGGCCCTCAACACATCTGGGATCCTTGGCAACTGGAGCATTTGGCAAATGATGGCAAATGGAAGTCTGACAAACAAACACTGCCTAAAGGTGTGCAAATGTCAACATGCCATCAAAATTGAATGCGGGCGTGCTTCTTCAGTGAGTTGTTGTCAATCGATAGGGCTTTGAGTGACGGTACTGCATCCTCAAACGCCGCAGCAGGCCTGGTTTTGGCACCAGCTTTGTCGCAATCATCCCACCACTCCTGACAAAATCTGTCAAAATCTCTAGATTTGACAGGTGGACGCGTGAGCGCAACACAGAAACCAGAATAAACTAGACAGCATGTATATCCAGCCAAATTTTGGATAACAAGCTGCAAAGACTGAACAAACTGACATACATCGTCAATCACAGCTCAATGCAGCATGCCCTCCTGCATGGCTCGCCCTGCCATTGCAGAGTCCATAGAATTGCATTCAGTGGAATCTGTGAAGTACGCGGTGTAGCACCACTTCACTGCTGGCCTTTGATCAGCAGACGACCTAAGCTCTGCCTTTTGCAGCTGCCACACTGCCCTGGACCACTCACCAAATTGGTTTGGCAAAAGATCGAACACGTAGACAGTTGTCTCTTCAGGTAGTTTCATGCCCTGCACGCACGCCTCAAGGACTTTCAGGGTCCCTTCCACACCACGCTGCTGTACCTGACTGTAGGTGTGATGTGCTAACAAATTGAAAGCATGTTGGATTCACATTGGATTACCAAATCAACAGCCAAAGAACTCGATGATTGGGCGGGATTGGCGAGTCTGGATCCAAGTTCACGAGATCTCCCACTCTTGCTCGTGGGATGTTGGGAATCTGGCCAAGAAGGACATTGCTCTTGCACCACTTAGATGCTTTCTGGCTCGATGAGATGGCTGCCAAGCCTGACCAATGCCAAGATGCATCATGAAAAATTAGAGTGCCAATGTATCATGAAAAATGAGCAGCATAAATGGATATGTCGTTCAAATGAGTGAAACTGACATTGACAAAGCCAAGCCAAGATACATTGTTGTGATGTACGCCGTTTGTCATTGCCATGAGCATTCTCATCAGCAAAGTTCAAGCTGATCTCCCAGTAGTCCATCGTCCTTGTAAGTTCAAACGTAGCACACTGTTGGTTCACAGGCTCCCTCTCTTTGTCACCCGCACGCATATGCAGCACATACGCAACACCGTAATTTTGGCGAGGCTCGCAATGACCTTGTCTTCCAAGAGACGCCTGTGTTTGACCACCGAATGTTTCTCCGTACTGCTGTGGTATTGTGGTTCCAGAGCCAGCAACATGGACCTGTCGTTGCCACCAGTGACAAGGGATGCCAGTTCAATACCCTCGTCGATGCCCATGACACCTGCACGATGAAACACCAAGTAAAGAACAACATGCCATTTGCACTCTTTGACACAATCTTTGACTTGTATTCTTGAGTTTGACAAGAGTTGTAGCCGACAAGGTGCGGCTCGGCCACAAGGTTGCATCCAGGACAAGCAGCGCAAACCTGACAAGCATGCCGGATGTTGCAAAACGTTTACAAACACGACCATTTAATGTTCTATTGTTCACATTGCATTGTGCCAAACTGTGTTGATATGTGCTGATGTAAAGTTTGCATTATTGTGTAACGCATTGAGCTTTGAACGCTTTGTTGCCATCACTGGATTGCACAGACAGCACATCAGCCGCCGATTGGGTCAATTTCTCCATGTGTACATGACGGTGACGAGAATTCATGAAACGGCGTACTTCACGAATGCCCTTCTCATATCTCTCTGTGAGGTATTTGCAGTCGAGGAATCCCTGACCAGGCGAGACATGGGGAATTTGAATTGTTGGATTTTCAGTTCTTCAGTGTGCATGTAGGTGAGTGTGACGCAACACAAACTTTCACAAAGTACACTTGTCAAAGTAAATGGCTTTGCCTGGCGGTTTGCCCAATCCTGAAACTTGTCGCTCCATGCATTCACGGCTTCAATGTCCTTGACAATATCGTGTTGGGCTTGTTCAAAGTTCAAGGCGGCGACCTTCATGGATAGCCTGAGTTGAATGAAGTTAGCCAACTAGAAGCAGCATGCTTTCGGCTTTAACTAGCAGCATGCTTTCGCCAACAAAGACAAGTAGAACATGTGACCGAGACACTCTTCATCCTTTGCAGCTTGTTGTTCAAGTGCCTTTGGGGCAACGTTGAAACCAGTTTTCTCAATCTATTTGCAAGCTCAATCGATGAGACCAGCCTGTTTGCCCCACTTGGTCAGGCAGCTGTTGAATATGCCAACGCGAGCCAAGTCAGCCGGCGGCACAGTGGACTCCATGAGGGCTTGCAAATCTGAGTCTGCATGACGGTTCCGAAACCTGAGCTTGATGTCTGTGTTTTGCCCATGGTATCAAGCACATACCCAAGCACATTGAAACACCGCACATGGCTTGACTGTGAACCATGAAGAACAAAATTAAAACCCAGGAACGATGTT